AATTTTACACTGTATACATCTGGACTATGTCACATTAACAGTTTTACTCTCTTTTCTCAGAAATGAATCATTTAATGTCAACTTTATGTTTGAACACTAAAAGTACAGTACGGCGTTGTTAAACACAGATACAGACCTGCTCAAAAACCTGAGCTTGTAAAGTTATCTTGATGTGTTTGAATCTGACTTAATTCTGCTGTTTTGCAGGCAAAGAAGCAGAAAGTATCAGGACTGCAGAGAAACTCGTGTCCGCTCTGAAGTTGTCTGGCTTTATGTCAGTGACAGAGGTGAGTCAATGCTGGGATTCCTGCTGAAAAGCAAGGGTTCAGTTTATTGGGAGAATTATCAGTCAAATGAAACAATCAGTACCAAAAAAAAAAAAAAAACAGTTCAAATCAGAATATCAAGCTGTGGGTGAAAATATTATTTGGGAAACTTCTACCATGAGTGTCTGAATACTTATTTTATTTTGCATGATCTCTCTCTTTGCACTTTTGCTATTTTTTTATATTAAAAAATAAATTAAATCTGCTGAAGAAAGTTCCCTCTAAAATCGGCTGATCCTTCTGTTCTCTATTCATTCAGATAAGTAAAACAGAACTTAGTCCTGAGGCACTGAACTCCCTCAAAGGAAGCACTGGTTACCAAGGAAACACTCTGTCTAGAGTGCGCATATCTGCCTCCAAACCAAACTATGAGGTGGGATCGTCCAGCCAGCTCAAACTGTCCTTTGGAAAAAAGACGCCTGGTAAGTTTACAGATCAACTGTTGGATGGTTCCAGATTGCTTGTCTGCTGATTTGGTTCACAACTTGGATTTAATTTTACGTTTTGTTGTCTTCACTCTTAGATTTCATAAATCAGTTTATAGTAATTATTATCTTACTAATTGATTAATCCCTCTGATTATAATTTTTTTTAATCCTTAATCGTATAGCTAATGGATATTAAATTGAAATAAAAAGATTAAACGAGTGTTGTGTCCTTAACCTTCATTATAAACTAAATTGGTCATATAAGACGGCAGCCTGACTTACATTTGTTAATTTTAATATCCATTTGATTTTATTTAAGAATTAAATAACTAAACAAGGTAAAAAATGGCGACCCTATCAGAAATTGCAGCACTTTGTTTACACTAACACTGCAGGCAAATTAACCTAAATCTGATCTTTTTACCCATAAACTACTAATTTCCCACTTTTTCATTGTTGTTTGAATGACTCATTTCTGAGATTTTCATCTTCCCAAAAAAAAAATTTAATCCAATTTGAGCCACTATCATACGTAGAACTTAATGATAGATACATTTTAAAGCATCTGTAGTTTGAACGGTCATACTATGTTTTAGCCAACTTTCCCCTCATTCAGATTTCCTGCTACACATCCACTGTGACGGTGTTCTGTCAGATGAGCATACCCCGGAACACCAGCTACCCATAGTCAAATGTGCATGTGCAAGACGTCAAATTTCCATTTATCCCTTTGTTTTGTTCGAAAAATAGACTTTAAACTACCTCAACGAGTGTTTATCACTTAAGTCATGTACAAAAAAATCTACTTACAGTCAGATTGCCATATGCTTCAAAACACACTAAAAAGTATGTAATTAAATAGTTTTTTTTGTACACGACTAAAGGGATACATGCCCGTTGAGGTAGTTTAGTTTTCGTACAAAACTAGAGAGATAAACTAATAAATATATAAAATAAAGTGATAAACGGGTATTGACTATGAGTATGCTGGTCTGACTGGGTATGCTCAACTGACAGAACAACGGCAGCAGCGTCACTAATAGCTTTGCAAACCCCTGTTGGTAATAGTTGTGCTGTTTGTCTTCTTTCTTTGTTAGTGATGTGATCATGATGCTGTTGCTTAAGTTTACCATGGAGACACCGGCATTCACTACAAAGAAATCGATTTAGTTTTTTTCAATAAAGCTTTATTGGGCATTTCTATTGACAGCCGAATTCAATGTACAGTTTCAGTGACGGCCCTGCTGACAGTGATCACATGTGCATAGCAATGAGAAAAAAAATTCTAAATTAAGCAACAAGACCTGCAGTGTGAAATAAAGAATGTTAGGTTTTTCCCATCTCACATATTACAGCTCTGAGAATACTTTTTTAAACATATTTTACTCTTTTGGTTCTTTTTATATCCAAAACAGTTTAATTTTAGCTACCGGTAATATCTGTAATAATCAGCTGGTTTTTTGTTTTGTTTTTTTTAAGCAGAGAAACCTGCATTGGATCCCAGCACAAAGAAAATGTGGATGCTTTCAGCCAACGACATCAACGATGATGATGTGGTGAGTTCAGTTTCATGATAAAAAAGGATTTAGATTTTTGTTAATTGTTTATTGTTTATTGTTTATTTATTTGGATCCCCATTAGCTGTCAGTAATTTGACAGCTACTCTTCCTGGGGTCCCTTTAAAATTATGCAGATACACATAACATTTTAAATGATCACATCATACGAACCACGATACATTTCAAATTATATCACATTACAGTACAATATGTTACACAAATTAATTCTGATTTTAGCTGGTTTAATTTAACAGAGCTGAAAATGAGGATGTCTCTGGGTGTTTATTTTAGATTTTATAGGATCTTAGAGTTAAGTTTTGTTCCTCGGGAGATTTAACACTAACCTGGCACAGATTAATAATGTGTAGCACTCAGGTTTAGCCCTACACATAATTAATTGGTGTTCATGATTTACAACGAATTAATGGCAGTTATACTGATTTGTGGCTGTAAATTTCAGCTGCAGAGCTAAGAAGAGAAAAACCTGCCTATATAAACACTGAAATATCCTCAGAAAATCCAGTATTGGAATTAACAGCCTGGACTTGTTGCTCTCAAAAAGAAAATTAAGTTACTATGTCTGTGGACTCTGGTTCAGTTTCAGACTTATTTTGTTGTTTACAAGCAGAAAATAGTGAACCAGAACAGAGACACAACGATCCCATATGAACATCCGTATCGAAACTAAAGACGTTTCTGGATTGGCTATCCGTAAAAATAGGGCCGATCCGTAGGGACAGATGTATTCAGTCTGTTTCTATAATGAATTTAATTTAATTTACCATCAAAGTGAAGCAACTGCTCTATCTGGGTGCCTCCAATTTCAAAACGGTCCCGTATCACACCATTTGTGAAGGCTGAACGAGGCTGAGACCAGAGAAAACTGATTTCAACTATTTAAAAGTCTCCATATTAGCTGCTAAAAGATCCACTTAGTCTTTACTCAGAGCCAGAGTCGTGGCGCTCTGCCTCACAGAATCCCTCCATGATGGGAGAAAGTGGGTGTTTGCTTATAGTGCCGGTATGGCGCGGTTAAAGCAGGTGTTTCCTGGAGGGGGCGCACTTAAAGATATTCTCCATCTGTCAGGGAGGGGCTGCTGCTCAGACAGCACAACTCTTGATGATTACCTGGATTCATGAATCAAGCGAAACACTACTTTGTACCTGATTTTGACCTATTACCATTATAACATGGGTAAAAGCTAAAAAAAAAAAGTTTATCACTTTTTTCAAGAGACTTTTTAAAAAGTCTCTTGAATAACTGAGAGGTTTACCCCTTCATGGGTGTCTTTATTTTATTTAATAAATTCAGCCAGTTTTAATGCTCACAGCTGTTTTCAGGGTGGTTTTTTTCCTGTTAACATGGTTTTCTGTTTTTATGGCTTCCTTTTCTTATCTTTATACTAAGAACAAGTGTAAATTCATACGTTTTGTAGTTATGACATTAAATTATTCTTAGGTATGTTATTGGAAAAGATCTGCAAACATCAAAATTCAAGTAATGGAATCGGATCCAATTTGAAAAAAAAAAATGAATTGGTCAGTTGAACACAATTACTAAACTTTGATATGATGTAGAAACAGACGTGAAAGGCTTACATTATAATAAAGAAATGAGACTACAGGCTTGTTATCCAAGACTTTTTAAAGACGTGTTTTGGTGTTAATTGTTATTGATGTAAGCTCTGTTCAGAATCTCCATTTAATTTTAAAATCCAACCCGTTCCAATGAAGTCTTAACTCCATGTGATTGAATCAGGAGGGACTCTTCCTTCTAATAAAAAGTTCAAACTGGAGAGTGGAGTGGAAAATATGAAGCTTATTTTTACTAACACATCACTAGTTTTCTCATAAATAGCCTTTACTAATATCGTCATTATTCCAGGATCTGTTGGACTCTGATGCTCTGCTTGATGAAGATGACCTAAAGAAGCCAGACCCAACTTCTCTTAAAGCAACAAGCTGTGGAGAAGGAGCCGGCAAGAAGAAAAAAGCCTGCAAGAACTGGTATGTTCACAACACAGAGGAACACTTTAAAACAGGCATCCCCGAAGTCGGTCCTCGATGGCCGCTGTCCTGCAGATTTTAGCAGTTTCTCTTGCTTTAGTATGATTCTGGTGATTGCAGTTCAGCAAAAGACTGTTAATCAACTCTCAATGTAAATCAGCTGTGTTGGAGCAGGGAAACCTCTAAAACCTGCAGGACAGCGTCCATGAGGACCAACTTTAGGGATGCCTGCTTTAAAATAACAGAATTGGTGAAATCACCTGTCAGTTAATGTTCTGAATACCTCAAGAATCTGGTGCAAAGGGTTGAAACTTTTATCCAATTTAGCAAATGCTGTTAGGCGTTTGATGAAATGATACGACAAAACAAAAACAGGAGCAGCTAACACTGAAAGTTGGAAGCAGAGCAGCCTAACTGGCTGATCCTCCAGATGGTCAAAAGATAGTCCAAATATTTTCTTCTATTGCAGCCTTTTAGAAATGTAAAATGGTGATTTAATTGTGTTTTAATCTCTACAAACATGCCTGCCTTGAGGCTGATTTATGCTCAGAAACCAGTTCGTCTGTCGCAGTGAACGCAAAGGTTCCCCTTCCTTTTCGCAGACACTCCGAAATTGTAGGTGACTGGAGACAGTGCTGCAGACAGGAAGCCTCTGATTGGTCAAATCTACATCCGCTCTGCACTATGCGTATTTCCTGTTTGGTACCTTACCGGCTTGTTTTGTTTGTATGACCGCCATTGCAGAAAACAACTTGTGCGTGAGAACGCTTGGACCTTTTTTCCACCTGGATCCCTGCTCTTTTTCGCCCTCATGTCCCTCCGTTGTCGCACAAACTTGCCCCCACTTCCTTACAGCCTCGGCCGTATCTAGACCCACAGCTAGTTTGTGATTTTCCCTCTTGCGTTGTGGTGTGGAATAAACATAGCGCAGACCACCCTTCAATATTGGGCATAAATTAAAAAAAATATCTGGGACAAGCTCATTGCAACACACTGCTGCAGGAGTATAACCAGGCCTTTGCTCTGCTGTTGAATTTAACTTTGGGAATAAATAAAGTTTTATTTAATTTTCAGAACGCAGTCATCTGAAGTGAACCTGATGCTGAGATGTTAAGGTCACAAAATAATACTGTTTCTATTTGAAGCATTTGGCAAGATTGTGACAGAGCTGAGATATTACTGGGTAGAGTGAGTGAATAAATAATTAGGAATTTATTTCAGACCATTTTTTTTTTTTTTTTTTACAAGTAAGAATAAACAACAACAAATGAATGAACAAAATACACACAAGAGACTAGTTAAGATCAACCAAACCAAACACCAATTTCCAAACAAAGAGTATTTGACATTTCTGTTCGAAATCTAAACGTGTCCCATGTCTGAGTTTAGGTCCAAATGTTTCTTCATCTGATATAATTGTGCCATCTTTCTAGACTTGTAATAATAATATAACTTATTCTCTGCCGTCACTGTGCAGCACATGTGGGCTTGCCGAAGAACTGGATCAGGAGAATAAAGAAAAACAGAAATCCAACCTTCCAAAATCTGCATGTGGAAGTGTGAGTAAATTGGCTTCAATCCTCCTGTTTTCCTGTGAAAGATTTTTTTTTATCATCTTTCACAAAGATTGTGTTATTTTGTGTGTTCAGTGTTACCTTGGGGATGCCTTCCGCTGTGCCAGCTGCCCGTACCTGGGAATGCCAGCGTTCAAACCAGGAGAGAAGATAGTCCTTGACAACAACACGCTGACTGACGCTTGAAGCTGAAAGATTCTGCAGCTCAGGCTTCAGGACTTTAACATTCCTTTGTTCTCCATTCACCCTCTGAGGTTTTCAGCATGCATAACTGCTGATATGGATCCCAATAAAATATCTGGACAACTGCACAGGAGAATTCACATTTATTAAGAAGCAGGAATGAAGATTGAAGTTAAAGGAGAACGTTTCGATATTTGTTGCTCACTGTGATTTGATACCTGCAGCATCAGAGGATACCGGATTTTTCATTTGTCAAATGGATTCATGCAAGTGATAACCAGCATATGTTCAGATGATACAGTGACGAAACCATCGGATTTAGGTGTGGGTTTTTGTTTTATCAGTCACGTTTCATTATTGTAACCAATCATTAAAAATGGGACAGAAGGCTGCATTGAAACTGGTCAACTGAAGCGTATTTATGTTAATGAAGTCATCATTTAATACAAATAAACTAAGGTGAAAAGTTTAAAAGTAAAGTGATGTTTTCATTTCATTTACATGATGTGTTCAGCTGTCAGGTTTTCTAAGATGGTTACAATTTTGAAACATGTTTTATAAGAAAAACAGTCCCTCAGACGACAAAGATGGTAGTTTGGTTTTATTTTGTGATACAAACTTTTAACTCTTCTTCTGACAAGTCCATACCTGCCCTCAACTACAAACACAAAGCAACAGCAATCCAAAAAATATTTTTAAAAAAAACAAGACATTTGGGTTTGTTGGTCTGTTAATACAGGATCATTTAAGACTTTAGTTGTGGAAACACCAAAGCCTGTTCGGCCCTGAGAGCTCCTCAGATACTGATGTATCATTAAAAAGGCAAACGGTAACTTCAGTCATTATAGCAATAGTAAACACACTGTTAAATATGCTTTAACACAGAGTAGAGGTAAAACCTTGGAGTCACATCACTGCGTTATGATGCTGAAGTCCATCTTAATGTCTCCTAAGCTGGGCTCAAATGTGAAGCTGTAGGACACTGCAGCCCTGCCGTCACCCGAACTGTCCCACGCTGACCTCAGGAAATAAACCCCCTGCCTCCTGTGTCGACTCCACTCACAGGTGCCCTGCAGCAAAGACAAAATTCTATGTTTAAAATCTAAAACAGGAAACCTATTTAAGTGGATACATTAACAAAACACTACAAGGACATGTTTTTGACTGCATCTCGTCTTAATTTGAACCCCATCACCAATAGTTGCTGCACAGTTACAAAACCTTTTAGCAGTAGAAATGTCAGAGGAGCCAGACGTAAACTCACCTGCTCACTGATTGGCTGAGTTAGACCCCCGCTGACTGTGACATCATCAGTCAGCTGGTATTCCATCCATAAGGCAACACCGTGACATCGCCCACTCCTAAGACACATTATTTAAATTTTAAAAACAGTTAC